GGCCAAACAAATAAGGAAGCCTGATCTTGGAATTTTAGCTTCCAAACCTATGAGATAAATAAAACTTCTTTTCTTTATACATTATCCAGTGTCAGTTATTTTTCTATGAGAAATGGATTAATACAGTGGGCTCATAGGTTGCTTGTCATTTAGGGTTGTCCTTCACAACTTTACAAATCTACCCCAGGTAGTCATTTGTGCTTCTGGATCCTTTTGAAAAAATTAGTGCATCATACTTATATGAAACAGTAGGTTCATTTTCACATATTCATAAATGCATATAATACAGTTTTCCTCATTTCAGTCTCTAGTATTTCCTCTTTCCCTTTATTCCTCCTTCCTGCTGATACTTTATTGGTCTTTCTTCTTATTTATTTATTTATTTACTTAGTTTTTAATTGGCCCATTACAGTTTATTATGGTTTAGATGTGTCCCCCAAAAGCTCACGTGTGAGACAATGCAAGAAGGTTTGGAGGAGAAATGATTGGGTTATAGCCTTAACTTAATCAGTGACTTAATCCCTGATGGGGTTAACTGAGTGGTAAGTGGAGGCAGGTGGGGTGTGGCTGGAGGAAGCAGTTCATTGGCTTTGGGGTATATATTTGTTTCTGGCAAGTGGAGGTCTTTCTCTTTTTGTGCCCCATCATCCTGTGAGCTGCTTCCCTCTGCCACACTCTCCACCGTGTTGTTCTGCCTTGCCTGGAGACCTGAGGAGTGGAACGAGCTCTCTATGGATCAAGACCTCTGAAACTGTGAGGCTTCAAGTAAATTTTTCCTCCTCTACAATTATTCTGGTCAGTCCTTTTAGTCATAGCAGAGAAAAAGCTGACTAAAACATAACTATATTTAAAACTGGAATGAATTATGATATGTTCATATCTGTGCACAGCATAATTTGGTTAACATCCTGCTCTAATTCTTCCCTTTTTCCACTGGTCCCCTATTTGTTCTCTACTGATCTCTCTTCTATTTTCAAGAGATGCACATTTTTCTGTCTAACTTCCTCATACGAGAGGAAATATTTGACCCTTGACTTTCTGAGTCTGGATTATTTCACTTAGCCTAATGTTCTGCAGTTCCATCCATTTACGAGCAAATGACATCATGTCACTCTACTTTATGACTGAGTAGAAATACATTGTGCATATATCCTACTCTTCTTTATCCGTTTGTCTATTGATGGTCACCTAGGCTGGTTCCATAACTTGGCTATTGTGAATTTTGATGCTCTATATTTAGGAATATTTACTTTATGCCTATCTGTTCCTATGCATGTATCACTATAGTATGCTGATTTTAATTATTTTTGGATAAATATCAAGAAGTAGGATATCTGGGTCACATGGTTACCAAAAGACCATTAGTCTTTTGAGGAATCTCTATACTGCTTTCTAAAGTTGTTGTATTAATTTGCTCCCATCAACAATGTTTAAGTGTAGCTTTTCCCCCACATCCTTATCAGCAATTATCATTATTTGTATTCTTGGTGATTGCCTTTCTAACTGAGGTGAGAGGAGATCTCAGTGTAGTTTGATTTGCATCTTCGTGATTGCTAAAATGTTAAATAACTTTTTATATGTTGACTGGCCATTTGTATTTTTTATTTTGAGAAATGTCTCTTTAGATATTTTGCCCATTTATTATGTGGATTATTAAGGGTTTTTTGGTGTAAAGTTTTTAAGTTCTTTTTATATTCTTGTTATTAAGCCCCTGTTGGAAGTGTATTTGGCAATGATATTCTCCATTCTGTAGGCTCTCTCTACATACTCTTGTTTCCTATGATGTGCAGAATCTTTTAAATTTAATTACCTACCATTTATAGATTCTCAGCTTTATTTCTTGATCTTTTGGACTCTTAAGGAGGTTGGTGGCTGTGCCAGTGTATTGGAATGTTGTCCCTATATTTTCTTCTAGCAGTTGCAAATTTTCTGGTCTAATTTCTAGGTCCTTGATCCACTGTGAGTTGATTTTTGTGCAGAGTAAGAGGTAGGGATTTAGTTTCATTCTTCTATATACCAATATCCCTTTTTCTATGCACCATTTGTTTAAAAGGCTATTGTTACCTTTGTCAAGAGTCTGATAACTATATTTGTGTGCATTTGTTTGAGTCTTCTAGTTTATTCCATTGGTCTTCATATATGTTTTTTTAATGCCAACATCATGCTGTTTTTGTTACTGTAGTTCTGTAGTATAATTTGAGATCAGGTATTGTGGTGCCTCCCATCTTACTCTTGTTGCTCAGGATTGATTTGACTCTTCTGGATCTTTTATTCTTTCATATAAATTTTAGGGCTGTTTATTCTAGTTCTGTGAAGAATGTCATTGGTATTTTGATGTGAATTACATTGAATTTGTAGATTGGTTTTGATATTATGGCTATTTTGGTGATATTGATTTTACCTATCCATGAACATGGTAGGTTTTTCCATCTTCTAAGGTTTTCTTCACTTTTTTCTTCAGCATTGTATAATTTTAATTATAGAGTTCTTTTATATCTTTAGTTATATTTATTCCTAAGTATTTTGGGGGGCTACTGGGAATGGAGGAATTTTATTGATTTCTTTCCAGCAGTTCATCATTGGTATATAAGAAAGCTCTTGATTTTTGTGTGTTCTCTTGTGAATAGAGTATTTTTCCATTTCAAGTAAAGCAACTTGAATCAAGCATACAGAATGCTTGTAGGACTTCATAAGGTACCAAACTGTAAACATTAGTATTTATTATTATTGGAAGATAACGGGAAAAACCAATTACCATTCAAAAATGTTCATGACTTGTATATTATAAACTCAAGGAAAGTCTTCTCAAAATAAGCATGTTCATAGACTTTATCTGTTGGATGTACCAATTATAAATCATTAGTGGGAAATTGAGACTAATTAGTAGAAAAATCTATAGTCTGAAAGTATGTGTGAAGAGAGCCTAAGAGCCAGTGGCTTGAACATCAGTCATAACTGGCTGGGATTGCTGTCTTATTCACCCATAACTTAGAGCAGTTTACTCTCTGGTCTTTTATTTCCTTATCAGTGAAATGAGAATTATATGAAAGATTACATCATATAAATTTATAAAGCATAACACCAACACAGTGTCTGGGTCAAAGAAATTATAGCCAAAATGAGCATTATTTTGTGTTATTTTTATTATCACTATCGTCATCATCATTATCATCATCATCATCATCATCAGAAACAGGATTTCCTATTTGACTACAATTGGCATTGATATTTCTAAGGAAAGATAAATTTGGTGTGTGGCAACTCTGAGTGAGTTAGCCATCTTTGTATACAATTAGGGGAAAAGGAGTTAGTAGGAAATTGTCAGACCCTAACCCCCACCTACCCCAGCAGTGGAGTTTGGGGTGTAGATTTTCTCTCTGTTAATACTGTGATAACTCTCTTGCCACTTGGACTCTAGGAGTTTTTCATTTCCTTACTGAAAGGGTGGCAGATACCAAATACTGAGGTTTTTTTATACAGATAAAGTATCAACTAATTTCATATCATTCTAATCCATACCTTTTTTTCAGACCATTGTTGTACTTAAGAAAATAGCTTCCCTCCAAAAAACGTCTTGAATTGTAGTATTTGCCAATTTCCATAGTGTGCGTGTACCCGATACTGCTAATTATAAGTTGTCAGCATGAAATCACTGGACACAGAGTTGTAAAGAGGCGAGCACAATTGCTCACAACAGTGTAAACTAGTTCCACTGCACTTCTGGGTCAGGAGAAAGTTCATGTTTTGACAGTGTAGAGTAGGATGATTGACAACAACACTTACAAGCAAATGCAATAGAGGGAAAGTACAGCCAGGATTCTCGTAAGATTTTCATTTAACAGACTGCATAGATGATGGTGATTCCATAAGATTGTGCCATCTAGTGATGTCACAGCCATCAGTTTGTGTAATCACACTCTGTGATGTTCACACAATGATGAGATCAGATATCAAAGCATTTTTTTCAGAACCTATGCCTATCTATTGTTAAGCCCTGCATGACAGTACTTTGTCCTCAGAGTAAGTAAGATCATTCGGATATACTTGGCCAACAGGATTCATCCAGAAAGTGAGTTAATGTCAGGTTTTTTTTGACAGTGTATTTCAGTGCCATCTTTCTACCCTTGCTCTATACTCTCTCCAGTCATACTTAGAAGAGAAGGCTTTTCCCAGCCTCTTGTTCTCCAAGCATGAAAATTTCTCTAATCATTTCCCAATTATTAAATACTTTGTTAACCAACAGTTTAGAGATTTGGTCATGGATATGGTGTCTAGATTTATAAAAACGTCTTCTTCCTTTTCTTCCTACCCTATCTTCATCTGCCTTCTGTGGCTCTCTTTTTTCCTTTTTTGTTCCCCTACTTTCTTCACAAGTATTTTCTATCATCTTTTGTATTCCTAACAACCCCATGAGGTCATCAGAACAGGTAACGGTATCCATGATTTGCAAAAATAGTAAAGTACAAAATACTACACTTGTATAAATCTGTCATGTTATTCCCTTCAATCTTAATTTGGTATTATGTGATTTTGAATATTTTCATATTTTGTGATATTTCCTGGTGATTTAACCAGTGACCATCTTTCCTTTGCTATAATGAACTTAACTTGATTCTCCCCCTATTGTTTTGAAAACTGTATCATTCTATGTCTAGGAAATTGCATTAGAGTACCATAAATATATTTCTGAGAACTTTTAATTAAGCAATGATACCTAGAACCTTTCATCATAGTTAAGCCCCTGGAGATAATATAACAGCATTCTCTTGGGAAGTCATTCTGTTTTCAGCTGCTTATCGCTGGAGCAAGCAGAGTTCTGTTATGGACCGTTTTTGAACTGTTAAAATATTACCAGTTGAAGATTTTTTTCAATATAGTGGATTTAAAAAACAAAACAAAACAAGAGATCTTTTTCTTAAAGGCCCCTCAAAAGTGTTCTGGAAGCCTAATGAGCCAAGCTGAAGAGAAAAGGTATTTGAAATACTGATTTGGCATTTACCATGAAGCTCTCTGCAGATGTGCTTGAGATCATTGCTTGTGCCATGCTAATCCTTGTCAGCTTTGTGGGAAACACTTGTTTATTTTATTCTACAAGGAAGTGCATCTCTGGATGTTTGAAGACATCATTTCTTCTCATTTTCAGTCTTGTATTTGTCCACCTTATAAAAAACTTGGTGGTCAATGTCATGAAAATTGTGTATTCTTCTGGTGTCGTGCTGGATTCAGCTGGTTGCAAAGTTCTGCACTTCACTGCAGCCCTGACAACTTCACTGGCCATCTGGTTCCTGTTACACTTTGCATTGTTCTACCACCGGAAGCTCTACCACATTGTCTACTGCTCCAGTGAGGCTGCAAACCTGGACCAACAGAAACATTCCCTGAAGCGGGTCTCTGCACTTTGGGTGGCTGGTGTGGCAGTGTACATCCCAGTTTTAATTTATACTAGAAAATCAGAATACCTGAACACAGGAAACTATACAGACTCCTTGTCTACTAACAGGATTTACATGGATTGCTTAATTGGCTTTGGAAACAAGCAGGTAGAGTTTTACTATGGGAAAATATTTTTAGTTCTGATTGATATTCTTCCCTTAGCTATCTTAGTCTTTGTCTGTTTCTGGATGTCTTTCCTCCTCTCAGAGAAAAAGAAGATGACATATGGTGACATCTGGATTGGAGATGATGATTCAGAAACTGAAATTCTTAGAGGGGCCAAGTTCAGTATTTTATTAATGTTGCTGATCACTCCACTTTGGATTTCTCACTTTATCTTAGTCTATTTCTTGAAAGACTTGGCAGCCTATGTCTTTATTCCAGCTGTTCTCACAGCCCTCTCTTCAGGCTTCTCTGCTCTCAGTCCTTTCCTGCTTATGTTGGTTAATTATAAAATGAAGTTGGTGTCTTTCTGTAATGCCAAGGAGGAAACACCCGCACCACAGTCTGTGAATGTTACTCTTTCTCCATATGCTTAATAGCCAAGAACTCAATTTTAATCCCCGGAAAACAGGCTTTGTGTTTGGAGGGTTCAGCTAAAGTTTTCATAGCCCTTATTAAATAACAGTTTCTGAAAGGACTGCTAGAGAATTGACTCATCTCCAAAATAGACTAATGAGGGAAACTGCAAGAGGAAGACATAAGATCGCTAAGTTATTGCCTATAGAAGAAAAATAGTCATCACACCATTTGTTATTTAGGATAATACCAAGACTTTTTATGTAGCAATTCTAAAGTAACAACAATCACAGTCTGGAAATGAACTCAAAATTAACACTATATTAAGTATTTACTCTGTGCAATGTGTTGTATAAAAAAAACAACATACTGTTGAAACTGAGGATAACATTTCCTAGATGAATTCCCAAAGATACTCCTGAGTAATCTTATGTTTTCATCTGTGTTTTTCTTGAAATGCCTCCACACATATTGGAAGTACATTAGGTAGGTGTGTGGTGTTCCTTTTTTGCACTTTTAGTAATAGTACCTCATGTAATCTGGAAGTATATTTTATTCACTGGCCTTACCCTAAGTATCTTTAGTATATTAGGGCTAAATAAAAGCATTGAATTAAAGAATTAACTTGCTAAATTATATTCAGTGTGTATATGTAGGTGTACAACTGTTTGGTTGCTACAGACAGGTAGCCCACTGTCATTGCTTAAACATGAAAACATATATCAAACTATACTCTTTTAGTCAGAAAAAATGACATTTATTTTATACATGATTTATTTCCCCTTTTGGTTATTACATTGGTACATTTACAAATTACAAAAGAACCAATAAAGTGTTCCTAATAATTTGGTTTCTTGATCAATAAAAGTAATCACATTATAATTACAATTAAAAATACATGGTTGGGTTTTTATTTTTCAGTGTAGCCATTTAGAGTGCTTTAGTACAGGGAATAGTTATTTTAAATATCTGTGCATACATTTGTGTCAGCGTTGAATTCTTAGCTTATTCCTGTTATATTTTTAAAATTTCCTTTTTTATGACTAGACTTGGGATTTATTCTGCGATAGTTATAGTGAATGAGTACCTTGGAATTTGAGATTCCTGCTCTAAAAAGACTGCGTTGAAAATTATAAATCTGGATCTCATTTACAAAAGAGACTTAGAACATCTTTGCTCTCATGAATATACTACAGAGGAAGTAAATTTTAAAGTAGCCAAGGCTTAAATTCTGTAGGATTGTGTGGGCCAATGTCTGTCCTTTACACAGCACTGGGAATTAAAAACAAAACAGACCGACGTAAGACCTTCTGAGATTTCCAGGTGGTCTTCATGGGAAATGCTCAGTGGAGTCCACTGAGGCAATTTAATCAGAAGGGCACTAGGCATGGATCCTGTATAATGAAGTTAACATCTGGGGAGCTGGAGGATGTGGGGAAGAGGTCACCATCTTCTAATTAAATGCAGATGTAGCCAGAGCTGGGAATGAATGCTGATCTTAGTTTGTGATTCTTAAATGTGTTCCTGGGACCAGAAATATCAGCATTACCTGGGAACTTGTCCGAAATGCAGATTCTTAGACCCCCACCTTAGATCTATTGAATCAAACTCTGGGCCAGAAATCTGTTTTAATGAGCCTTCTGGATGATTCTCATTCACACTAATGTTTGAGAGCCATGAGTCTAGGGTTGCTTCAGAGTTTAATCCCCACAAACGATCAGAATGAAGTCAAGTTAACTGACTCAAAAGGTCATCTTCAGTGCTCTCCGTGCATATTCCTGTCATTTCTCCTTCTCTCTAAAATGGGAACCAGGATTGCTGTCTGTATTCCATACATTTCAACAATTACCAAACGAACAAATCCACTGTAGAAATAAGTAATCTTTGCAAAATCAAGAATAAAGCATGACCACCTCAGGTGTGCCAAAAATTTGGAACTTGGATTTGGATAGTTTCCTGTACATAACTAAGAAACCAGTTCCCAGATTATTCCATAGTTCATTTCCAGAAGCCAGTGCAAGACACAGTTGGCTTAGGCCCATACTCAACTTCCCAGTGGTAGAAATGCTTTCTTTTTCTTCCCAGATATTCTCTTTTTGTTTGGGTCTCATTAGATCAGCATTTCACCTTGTGGAATTAATTAATAAGCTTTCATCTGCAACAGAAAGTCCTATGCTCACTGAGTGAGCAACATTCCAGTTCTCTTTTAAAATTATTTTTATTTTAACGTTTTTGTTCTCTCCCTTTTCCTCTCATACTTCATTCAAGCTCCTGGTGGGATTAGGACAGCAAATGAAAGAGGATGAGCAAGATTCACAGAGATTGTCATAGGTAGCACCCTCAAGAAGGATAAAAATCAGGACAGTCCCAAGGACCTCAAGGACCTTTCCCAGTGTCCTCTCAGACCACACAGAACCTCCTCCTCTCTCTCTCCACCTTCTTCATTGTCTCGTTCCTCTTACTCTTCTTGCTGCTTCTTCTCCTCTTCCTCCTTTGCATCCTCCCATCCCCTCCTCCCTTCTTCCTTTCTCAGTGTATCCTTCCAAATTTTGGTCTGAACTATTTCTTTCTGGGTGGTTTCGATTTTGCAAAGCATCCTATTTCATTATAGCACCTTCAGAATCTCTGCAACTTCCTCTAAGATCTATCCTCAAATTAAATCCTTCTCTTTATCTGCTGAATTTTTAAATTCTTGAGAGAAAAGAGAATTTTTTTCTTCTATAAGGTTGATATTTCCTTAGCCCTGCTTCCTAAGACAAGAGTTTCCCAATCCTGGCTGTCTTGGCTTCCTCACTGTGTCCTGGTACATTGCAGTCCACCTAGAATGTGGCCTTCCTAAGAAGTGACCTCCAGAACTGAACACAATATACTTTTCATTTTGTGTGTGTGTGTGTGTGTGTTCATGTGTATTTTTTCTATTGTATATTCTTTTATTCTCTCTTGTACAGTTGCTGTGAGCATGAATTGTTCCCTTCTTCCAAGAAGAAGATGCAGTGTTAAATTCATTTTAAATCTCTCTCTCTCTCTCTCACACACACACACACACACACACACACACACACACACAAATTATAATTATAAACATGCATTTCTTCCCTAGGCTTAAAAACTAAGGTCTATCCAAGCTCTGAAGTTCTAGTGAAAGTTAGTTCATTCTTGGTGTTAGAGTTCAGAAATCATGAATGACCCCCCAGGACAGCACGGAGAAAACACATTATTCCTTCCCCAGGAGCTAGAGCAGGCTCAGTACATTACAATGAAGTCTTTTGTCTGATATCAAATATTCACTTGTATTTTTTCAAATAAGCCAGAAAATAGGATGTTCCAGAATGTGCTCTGTCTACACTCTAGCTTTAGAAATATGGCCCTGAGTATTTCTATTTATCACCCCACCACTCTGGTATTCACCCTTCAAAATCTCTTTTTAGAGGGAAAAGTTTAGCAATAGGTGCTACATCAGTCATGTTTCTAGAAATCTTCTTTCAGTATTCTCACCTCCAGGCTCTGCCCATGCTAGAACTGTTCCTAGAGTTTCTTCCTGCCCCTGCCCCTCATCCTTTAGCTTTCTGTCTACCCCAGGCAGGCTCCTCTCCTCTCTAAGGTCTAGACGAGCTTCCTAGGTTCCTGTGTGTTTATCTAAGCAAGTCCATGTTACATTGTAACGGTGTGTTTTCTTGTTCCTCTCACTTTACACTGTGTGTACTGTACAGCCCTGCAGCATGTACACCAGAATATTCTACACACCAACAGGGGAAAAGCCGCAGGGCTGTGCTTTCCCAAATTTTCCTTGTGTGTACTGCTTGGCACTCCTTCAGTTGCCTCTTTCTGGTAGAAATTTCTTGCCTCTGTCATTTTTCTGCTTCTAGACTAGGCATTTAGCAACTGCCATGCTTCTGGCCACTGTTGAATCAAAGAGGGAAGGAAACTGAATCCAGCATTTGGAAGGAGATGCTTCCTTGCCGGCCAAGTTACTGAGCCAACGGGGACAACATTTCCACCCAAGCCTTCCAGTTCTTAGTTTGTGATTTTTTTAAAAAAGCTCTTACATTGAAGAAAGTAAGCTGAATATCTACATGCCGGCTTTCACACTGAAAATTTATCCCAGTGTGAATTTGGCAGGTGTGTGTGTGTGTGCGGGGTGGGGGAAGGGAGTGGCTGTATTTTCTCAAGTGTTGGTGGGTTCAAGAGTGAAAAAATAAATTGTAATGCAAATCAGTTGAAGTTACCTCATGGCCAAATGTACTCTGCTCATTTATTTTGACAAGCCCAGCTTATTTTTAATTACCAAGACTCATAGTACACTGGTAAATGTAAGAATAGTGACTTTGGCAGAAAATGAGAAATGTGTGTAACTTGAGCCTTCAGAATGAGTCCATACTGACTCCTTGTAAAATGGAGTGAGGCGATCCATTTTAAAAGGAATTTCAGTAAAGCGATTTATGTGATATGTGACTATGGTCACAAATCAATGAGCCTTTTATAAGCCAAGCACACTAGAATGTATACATTAAAATGGAGTATGGTTTCTCAAAGAAATTTTGTTGGCCACTCTAAGCTTTTTCCAGTGATGCTGCCATTACCCAACAGATTTCTTTGGAAGTCTTCATTTGAAATGATTTTTAGTTAGTTTTCTTTTCCAAATAACAACAACAGAAAAAAAAAAAAAGAAAAAATCAAGATGTCACCGAAAATCATAGTACTGGGGAACAGGGAAACATACTATTTTCAGTGGCTTAGCTACTTTTTATGATCCCATTTAACTCTGTTACTTTGAGCTCTTTCCCAGGGGAATCTTCCCTTGAGGGAAATAGTGGGGCCATCTCTGAGGTCACTCATGAGAAGGTGACATGTTGTTGATAGACCCATCAGGGGCATGTGCCCCTAACATACATTTTAATAGGCATTGGAGGGACTTCTGCTCTTGGCAGCTTATCAAAGTTCTGTGGAAGTTGGAAAAGCCTACAGATGCTGTGCATGGTTGATGATTTTTTTTACTTCATTCTTCATCTCTCCAAGCCAGGCATTAGTTTGGAGTTGGGGTAAGTTTCTCCCTGTACTCTGGGTGCATTCAAAGAAGAAACCAAGATGTCACCAGCAGCTTCCATGCAGCATATATTCCAGCATCTGATTCTGTGTCCCTGTGCTCTAATATTTTTCTTCTTTCCCTCCCTATGAGTTTTTCTACTCAAATTTTTAAAAATTTCAAATTTTCAAATAAACCATTGAAAAATGTTTCCTTTACCTTTCTCTCCTACCCTGCCCCAGCCTAGCATCTTCTTTCCTCTCTTTTAAAAAAACAAAACACAGAACACACTTGCCTACATGAATAACAAATTGAAAATTGCTAATGCAGTGAAGATACATTTAAAACAAACTGAGCTTGAAATGGGATAATTTCAATCAGTGGACAGTACTTAAGTCAGATCTTGAGAGATGTGTGTTGTGGCGAGAGGGACTATCAGAAAATAGAAAGCCCTCAGGAGATCTCAGAGAACCAGGGATAAGTGACGCAGGTTGTAGGCTGATGGTATGGGGGTGCAGTACAAATTTACAGATGACTAGGTCCTGGGATCTTGAAGGGGGCCCATGGCCAACTATGATACGTAGCAATAAAAATTTCATGGGAAGGATTTTAAGCTGAACTGCCCATTCTGGGAAGCCTGAAAATTACTTTTCACTCAGGCATAAACTCATCCTTGCTAGCCTGAGAAGGGGCAGCCCTCTTGTCTCTGAGCTGCTGGTTTGGGTCAGATGGAGGATGGTTTGGGGTCTATCTGGGCTTGCCCTTCGCATGACTTCCTCTGTCCTCTTTGCTCTCAGCAGTAAAATGGACCCATGTAAATCCACAACAAAGCAAGAACCCTCCCGTATTCCAGTTAGAAGCATAATCCCCACCTTGTAACATTATGTTTGTGAAGGTTTTCTAAGAAAGAAAACAGAGACTCAGTGAAAGCACAAATTGTGACCCCCAGCAGTAGTTTATTTGTAAGAAATTTTGTTTTGTTGCTGTTGTGCTATAAGAATTTAAAACCATCTTAAAAATACAACTTCTGTCTTAAATTACAAATGACATCAACATTTTTGGCAGGAGACACCAATTTAAAAAGGTGGTAGTAATGATAGTGGTGATGGTACTTATTGTTAATATTGAATTCCCTCTGAAGGTCAAACCCTTGAATACCCACAAGGTCAGGGCATTTGAGTGCGTGACCCTCTGAGGCTTAGTCAAGATTAGGCAGGGCATGTGCCTTAGTAGAGCAACCACAGAGGGGATCTGGTAAAGTGGGGAGCACAGACCTCATAGATAGGTGGGGGCAGCTACTGTTGGCGTCATGGGGAAAGTGAACCAATGTTGCAGTAGCTTCAGATACTTTAAAGCAAAGCCAGAAATTCAGAATTTTATGTGAAATTACCCAAGGTCTACAAGTTGGCAACTGATTCGATTTTTTAAAATACTATGTGGGCCAAACAAATCACATCTGTGTGCCAGACTTGGCTCATGGGCCTCTGATGTGCCCTGTGTAGCTGAGTTTTCTGTTACAGCACACATGTCAGCAGTCAGAAATGGGAGTTTCTGGGTTTCCACTGCAGATTGGTGGGAGGTGGCAGAAGAGAAGGATGAGCAAATCGACCAGGGTCTTGCTTTTCTAGCTTAGTTTCCTCATCTTGTTTCATCTTGACCCGACCTCACCTTACTGCCTCAGAAGGGGACCCAAAGCTGGCAATGATCTGTGAAAGGGCAGATGAGAAAGAGGGAGACAGTAATGACCTTGGGGACAATTGTGAACTCACCCCTGACTGTAAATAAGCAATTGGAAACACAGTCAGGATTGGTGATCTGTGGGTATTTCTGCACATTTTTACTGGCAATGTAAATGCTCTCAAAGTGACACCTTGAAAGAAGCATCGAAACCAGACTACAGAAAGTGTGACATAGACAGAATAAGACATCATGAAGTGGATGGCTGTGTGTGGAGGCCTGCTAGGAAGCAAAGGAAAGCTCCTGGTGTCTTGGACCCTTAGTCTCAGTTGGGTCGTCCAACCAGAATAACATGCGCAGGGACCCAGGTCTTCTACAATGGGCTGCAGCTGTTGTAACTCTTACCTCTGGCCTACAGAATGAAGAATTTCACTACCTTCCTTCAAGTGCAGACACAAAGACTTTCTGCTTTGATGTCATGTTATTACCCACTGGTTACATGCTACTAGAATGACAAACCTCAAGTGGATAGGGCCCTGTCTCTCTATTGTCAGAGCATCTCAAACAGGTATTCAGTGACTCTTTGCTAAGTTGATTAGTTAAGGCATATTCATCTTCATCTTGTATTTAGTTTTGTATTTCCATATATTTAAAGATCTTCTTAGTCCTCAGTTCTGATATAAATTTCCTCATATTTCCATGTTGCTGGTGATTCTGAATGCATGGCTTGCTCATTTTGAGCTATTTTTTAAAAGCTAAACAAATGGCACGATTATGTTAAACAAAAAATATTGTACCTTCAACTTATTACCTACCTTAATTTTCTATGTTTCTCCCCCTTCCCTTCCTGCAGGCATATGCCATTTTTTCCATAGTTTTAATTGTAGTAGATAGAGTCCATCCAAGAAAGGATTAGCATGCAGCTCCCCTGTTTTGTTTGTTTGTTTATTTGTACCATATCATCTTTGTGTTGTTCACCAAGGCACAGGAAGAGTCTGTAGATCAGCTAGTCATTGTGAAGGACAGATTTAGTGAAATGAAATTAGATTGGAAGAAAGACTGTTAGCTGATGAGCTGAAATCCAGAAAGAGAAAGTTATTTTGAGTAATTCTCAAGTACAAATGTGTGTGTTTTCCTCTGAAAAGTTCTGTAAGGATTACAAGGAAAAGTAATGTATTTTTATACCCAACTATTTGCTTGAGCACCTATTTTAGGATTTCTGTCAATAACAAAATTTCTGGCTTAAAATTATTTTTACAAATACAAATTTGATTTTCTTTTCTTTTAAAAACTTGTGATTTCAGCAGGACATGTGGCACACGCCTATTATCCCAGCAGCTTGGGAGGCTGAGGCAGGAGGATAGAGAGTTCAAAGCCAGCCTCAGCAACAGCAAGGTGTGCTAAGCAACTCAGTGAAACCTTGTCTCTAAATAAAATACAAAAAAACGGGCTGGGGATGTGTCTCAGTGGTTGAGTGTCCCTGAGTTCAGTCCTCAGGATGCACCCCTCCCCCCCAAAAAAAAAAACCTTATGATTTCAGAAGAACTTTATCCATTTATCATAAGTAGATTATCTCACTTGATTGTAAAAATAGCATTCTAAATTTTTTCTTGGGACTCTTTACCTGCTATAAATAAAACTATGTAAAAAATGATGCATGTGTGTGAGGAAAAAAAGGCAAGGAAACAGGAAAAATTAGGTGATAGGTTTGAGGAATGATTTTTTTCCTCTTTATTGTAATAACACATTTTACATAGCTTAAAAAAGAGAGAGAAATAGCTCGAATAAGAAGGCAATGCATTTAGAGTAAGAGTTTCCTTTAAAAAAAAAAAAAAGCATTTTTGCACTTGATCTTGTATTCAGAAGCCCATTTTCATCAGCCTAGATGCACTTTCGCTCTCCAGTAATGGCTCTTTTCTGTTCAGCAAGGAACACCTTGATTAGAGAACTAAGAGAGAAAAATGGATCATTTCAAATACTCAAGTCTGGGTGTATAAGACAATTTTTATAATAAGAAAGACAAGTTGTGGGAAATATAATTTTCTTTCAGTATCTGAGAATTGGTTTGGCAGAAGATAATTGCACACCAAGGCACTGCCAGGAGATCTATATTTCTGCTCTTGACATCTGTAGGTGCCACTGCCACTGCCGACGGTGATCATGATAAGTGATGGGAAGATGAAGTGAGAGGCAATGCATCTTACCTTGACAGGTTTAAAGGATTGCCACAGGCAGCCCCGAGGCAAGTGCTGACGGAGGACATTCTGGTGCCTGTGTCAGGTCACTCTGGCACAGTCAGACAAAGCTGTTTAAGGCAGAGGGCAATGTAATAATTGTGGCTTCAATCTGATTTAGACTTAGAAGAAGGCTTCCTTCCTTTCTTTCTTTCCTTAATTCATTCATTCTTTCTCCCTGCCCACCCTCTTGATTTTTAGCTTTTTAGCTTTTTAGAATTGTATGGGATGTTGTACCACAAATTCTAAAATAGCTGTTACTCTAGATTAGTTGGTATCTTATACTTCTATGATTGTGGTAGAGATCCTAGTATTCATTGCTCTATGCACAGAATCCAAGGATATGCCTTCAGGAAATACATGAATATGGTTTTCCTAAGAGTCCCAGGCTGGTTCCCTTTCTTTGAATCCCATACGTGCACCCAGGGTATGGTGAGAGCAGGGTGTGTATTGGAGTGAATCCTAACATTGATCATAGGGGAAAATTCTGACCCATGTTATTGCTCTGGCAAAGGCAAGCAAGTGCAAATCAGGTAAAGCAAAGAATTATGGCTGCTGTCTGGGGAGCCATGCTGGGGTCTGTGGAGGAGCTGTGCTCCTGCTTCTGGAAAGCCCAGTGAGGGGCTTTGGAGAGGGGAAATATACTCTGAATATACTCTGGAAATATACTGGCACCTGATTATCTTTCACTTTCATGTTTGTTTAAATATAGATAATATTTTTGGCTATAAACAGCTAACATTTTGCCTTTCTTTTTTATTTCTGTCTTTGCCAGGAAATCATAAGTATTTGATCTTACTCAAAATGTGCAAAGAAGAATAATGGAAGCCCCTGAATATCTTGATTTGGATGAAATTGACTTTAGTGATGACATATCTGTAAGTATTACTTCTTTTAAAAAAGTGTTACTTCTTGTAAACAATGCTTTCAAGATCTTCTACCTTCAAATTCATACTTTATTGTCATCTGTTTATTAGCAACTCCTAGGACTACATTTAGAAATTGAAAGCAAGGAACTCTGTGTGGTAATCAAAGTGTGATTTGAAGGTCTCTGGACCAAGAAGTGAACCCCACCTAATTATGTGCAAGCTTAGAAGGGCAAGGCACTTAACTCATTGAGCCTCCCATTCCTAATCTGTTACAGTGTTGTCAAAATTATTGATTGTCTGAGTATGCACATAATCAATCTTATGAATTTTAATTCTCAATTTTCTTATATATCTGGCTACTCCATGCCAGCATTCTCCACAGTTCATAACAACACAGATTGAAGCCAAATTGACATTTATTAATTGATAAAAAATAAAGGGATTTTTTTTCAGTCACTGTAGGTATCAAAGCACAAACTGGACACTGGTTTGGGAATATTCAGGAAGAGTCATAAGCTAAGCAATAACTAAAACTCTTTAGCAACTGGACCAGCTGACCTTGAGGTTCTATTAATTATGTAATACTGTGGCTGATGATTCTTTAAGTTCCTATAACACTCACAAACTTTCTGCTTCTTCAGGTTCACTCAGGGCTGCTCTGAGTGAATTGTCTACATGTGCCTTGCTTAGAGCTCCATGTGACTTATCCTTGGCCACCTAGTCAGTTCTGCCACACCCACAGACATCTTGGCATCTAGTGCCCCAGAAACATTGGGCTCTCAAGTCTGTGGTGGGACATGTGCTGTTTCTGAGCTAGACATAAAACTTTTCTTTCCAGGAGCTCACAATATCTGACTTCATCATCTGTTGATCTCTCAGGGTCCAAAACTTTAGGTCACCCCTGGAAATTGTTTGGAAATGATGAACTTACTTTACCCACCTCTTGTAACAGTTTTATTCCTCTGCTTTACTAATTACCTTGAAGTAACATCAGATTTAGATCCCTGAGATGAATTTGATGAATTACCTCTTTTATAATCTGATGATTTTTCTTTATTATTGTATCAGAAAAAATGTTAATTCAACCTTTCCTATTTTAGCTTTCAGACAGTTTTAATTGATCCTCATTCAAATTTAATGTGAAGTGAGTTTCCTTCTTCCCATGATATCTTTCTGTTATCTGTGGTTGGTCTCTCAATTACTTGAAAGTGTTCAGAGAATAGTTGTCTTATGACCACTCCCTTCAAGGTATTTTGATTTAAGTGGTGAAAGAACAAGGAAAATAATGAAACTATGGACTTATGAGGGAAGGATGGAACGTGTTGTAGAAAAGGAAACTTGTGTTATGATTAAGAATTGGGAGATAGCTCTCTGGGTTGGATAATAAGGTTGTGGTGGTGGCACAAGCCTGTGACTCGGGAGACTGAGGCAGGAAGATTGCTAGTTTGAGGCCAGCCTCAGCAACTTAGCAAGGCCTTATGCAATTTAGTGAGATCCTGTCTTAAAAGAAAAACTAAAAAGAGCTGGAGATGTGGCTTAGTAGTTAAGTCTCCTTGGGTTCAATTCCTGGTATTAAAAAGAAAAAAAAAAAAAAAGGAAAGAAAGAAAAATGAGGACACAGGCTTTGAAGGCAGCCAGCCTAGGTTCCTATCTTGTTCTCACTTTTGCTGGCTGGATGATTTGGGGCACATTAACTTCACCTCTCTGAGATTCTCACCTATCTTTTAAGATTGTTTTGAGGATTGGGTGAAATAGTAATGTATGTGAAACACTTAGCTTGGCACATGGCAAATTACTCTTAAAAATGGTAGCTTTTGTTATTATTTCAGTGAATAATACAATAATATTTATATGACCAATGGTGAAGAAAGAACTCAAGGGAAAAGACCAGGCATGCTGTCAAGATTTTTTTTTTTTTAAACACAACAGAGCAGTTGTATTTACAGAGGAATCATCTGGCAGCAGCCCATAATTTTGATGAATTAGGAAGCTCTACTTGAAAGATAAAATATGCTAAGCAATAACTAAAACTGTTTAGCAAATTAGGCTACAAGATTATGCAATAGTTGAGTTTCTATAACTCGATCACTCTGAAACATAAATAAAAATGTCCATCTGTAATAGTGTAACCCCACCCAGACTTCCCCCTTTAAATGTTTCTTTCATTTGGATATTTAACCTCCAGTTAAGCTTGAATCAAGTTTGCAAGTATATAGAATTGATGAAGCGATAATAATGCCTGATGTTTATTGAGCTGACTGTAGGACAGGCATTATCTCCTTCAATCCTCACAACAGTCCTGTGAAGGAGGTGCTCTTAGCATCTCCATCTGTCAGAGGAGGAAGGACGCATGGAGATCTTATATACCTTGTTGAATGTCCCCCACCTAGTCAGGAACATCTGTCTCCAGAATATTCACTTGCAGTTATAACACTTGACTGGCTCTACAAGATGAGTGTGGTTTAACACAGTGTTTCACATCAGGGAATTTTTACTTCCCTCCCCACCCCACCCCAAGAATATTTGGCAATACCTGGGACATTTTTTATTGTTATACTGGGGAAATACTACTGGCATCTAATGGGTAGAGAGACCAGGGAGGTTTATAAACATCCCCTGTTGGTTGTAGACAATCCCTTACAAGGAAGAATTACCCAACCCAAAATGTTGGTAGTACTGAGGATACTGATCTATGTTAATCCCCTTGGAAGTGGGCAAGCTCTACTTTGATTTACAGCATAGAAGATTATTTTAATATAATTCAGTGCATCTAAGTTTAATGCCTTAAATATGCCAGAATTGTACTGTTCTTATGCAGTGATTTCATGGAAAGAAGAGCAGATATAATCTCATAAATATTGAAATGATTGTTAGCCTATTTAGGTAAACTAGGAGCAATGAATGTTACAGCTGCTTTCAGGGTAAATGGAAATTATTCAAATGCTAAAATTGAAAAAAAATGAAAATATTTTCAGTGTGCTAAGTTATTGGCATAAAAACAAATGTCATTTCCCATGAACATGCTTTTAATTTTAGGATTCCATAAACCTTCTTCATCTCTCAGGGCCCTTTTGCCACTTTCCTGTTTAAATGGTAGGAGTGGGGAGGAAAACGCACATTACACTTGAAAAAGATGTTTACAAAAATCATGTTGGAGTTGAAAACGCCTCTTCTGAGTCTCCAGCCATAGCCCTATTACGTAGTTTAGGCTTTGTGTTTCATGGTTTTCCCCTCTGGTCATGAGCCTGGTTCTTGTTTTAATTAAAGCATAAGCTGTATATTGGTTTAAAAAACAACTAGTTTTTTTTTTCCTTTACCTAATGAGACAAAACACAGAAGGCAACCAAATTATTTTGAAGTTTCCCAGACTCAAAAATAATGCACATCCTTTGCAAAATGCAGACTTTAAACTATACATTCTTGTAACTCTGCCATCAAAAAGGGCAGAACATTGTGCAATAAATGCGAATCTGTGAGAGAGAGGTGATGACACACATAAACACAAGGTTCAAAGCAGGGCTTTTCTGTCACTGCAAATGGGTTTACAGATTTCTTTCTTTTTTCCTCTGGGAGCCAGATCCCTCCAGAATTAAAACAAAAACAAAAACCCTCTGGAATTCTTAGGAGCCATGGCGTGTTTATTTTATTAAGAAGGGCCAACTTGCTGTTCTTAAAAATAGTATCATATCCAAGACTGAATGCAGCAGACACTGCACTAGGAATCTGTTGAAGCCACCACCCATCATCACTCGCCCACTATGCCACACACTGAGCTCAACTCTTTAGGTCAATTATGTTCTTCAGGCCACACATTCCCTCTAGGGGACAGGCTCTTCTTTCATCCCATTTTGTAGATGAGAAAGTTGAGGTTTGCAGAGGTGGTGTGATCTTCACAGGTTACAGATGGGCAAGTGGCAGGATCAGGACTTACATACAGAACTGTTGACACATTACTTTTCCCTCTGAGCAACTTGGTTGAATGGAGGTGTCCCTAAGACCAGCCATTTCACCCATCACTATCCCCATTTGGCACTGAAGTGATTACAGATTGCTTCTGGGTAGTAAGGGAGTTGGCATATATTATAAATGAATAAAATAAAACCAGCTAAAGGGAACTTAAGCAAATCTTTTAATTTTACTGTATTTCATGTTGCCCTTCTATAAAACGATAATGATTATCTTTACTTATCACCTTGGATTTTATGGGTAAAAACTTGAAAATTCATATATATTATATAAACACACACTCATATACACATAAGTATATATACTTGTACATATGCGTACACATATACATACAGCCACATGTGTGCACATGTTAATATAGATACATACATAAGTACACATACAAATAAAAGTGATTAAAATAATCTTTTCCTCTTTGCAAGAATTTTTGTTGCCTTTCTGTATCATTCTGACTGAAACTTTGGTAAAAATTTACCTTTTTGGTAATTGCTGAAACTACTTTTTGTGGAAGTCTTAATATGAGATTAAGATAGAGAAATATGTGTCCTTCCTCTTTACTATCCCTTTTGATCCAAGTCATTGTAACCCAGAGTAATCACATAAAATTTTGTTGATTCATTTTCTGAGGTGCTTGAATTACTGTCTGATGGAAAAATAAAAATTCTTAGGTCAAAACCAATCTCATTTTAGTGAGCTTTTACATTCTGATGGGGGAAAAAAGATTCCTTGTAGTCTGGGCATCATTGTCACTGAGCTACCTGGCCCTCTTCTGATTTTTTTGCATACCACTTTTTACTCAATTCAGTGTCCTGACATTTGCCCCAATTTTATTACATTTCAGCAAAGACCCATTTCACAGCAGTGGGAGACCTTGAGAAAGGGGGTGGAGAACCTCTCAAGTGGACATCAGCCATGAGTTGGGGTGTGTAAAGGATACATGAGTTTAGGTATGGAACAGAGTAGAAAGATATTCAAGATACAAACAACCTGGCTTGCCCTTCCACTCTAGCAAGGAAAGCCCATGATCAGTCAGGCGGCAGAAC